ATGAACCAGGAGACTTTCTTTAAGCTACGGACTTGGGGGGGGGTGTGGAGAAAAAAAAAAAAAAAAAAAAAAAAAAAACATCGGCCTCTGGAGGCCGTTAATCGGCTCAATGTCGTACGTAGAGGGGGGATCAGAGTAATAGCCCAGGGCGGACAAATTGTACCTCATCCCTCCGATCCAGTCAATTTCGAAGCATTTCAGGGGAAAAAAAGACCCGAATCTCACTCGACTTGATTGGGAAAAAACAGTTAAAAGGACCATAATTTTCGGCAGACGGCCTCGTGTCCAGAACGATCTGTCGTTATTGCTCTTTTGTGAAAAGTCCAGACCCTTTTTGTCCCCTAAACAATTTGAAACCCGCCAGCACATCCTTTTGCAACAGATGGCTCCGTCCACCAAGACCCGGAGCGCGAGGACTTTCACTGCAGACGAAATCGTCAAGCACCGCTCAAAGGAAGACTTGTATCTTGTCGTTGATGGCAAGGTCTATGATGTGACGAGATTCGCAGATCAACATCCGCAAGTCAACGCCCCTCTCTCTGCATTTACCATGGAAGCTTGTCCTAACGAGACAACAGCGGTGGTCAGGAAGTACTCATCGACCAAGGCGGTGTTGACGCCACTGAGGCATTTGAGGAGGTGGGACACAGCGAAGAAGCACGGAAACAACTTGCCGAGTTCTACATCGGCGAACTGAGGCGGCAGGTAAGTGGTCTCTCTCATTACTCGGAAGATTGAAGACCCACGAATTAAGATTATCCACAGGCCGACGACGAGAAGCTGCTGGCTGCGCGAGGAAAGGCTTACAAGAGCTATCACGATGAGTCTACGTCTCGGGGTATGCCGACTTACGTATGGGTTTTGATTGTAGTGGTAGCCAGCATGCTAGTCATTCTGGGATTACAATTTCAATTGCTATAGCTGATTCTGGCGCGGCATATGCCACCAGTAGATTTGGGGTAATTGAGCTAACAGTCTGCGGCTTGTGAATTTGACAGAGACGGCAGTCCAGATTAATGCTGTCCTCCCGCAAGGTCTCCTTAGAAGATGTCACGAAGTGTGGCGTACCGACTTTCTCGCAGAGGTCCTGTCAGTACAGCCATCTTTCGCAACGGGGAAGCAAAGGGTTGCCGCAACCAGACTCGAAGTTGCCAGCAAGCTCTCAAAGCATTCTTAGTCTACCTCATTTTACGGAGACGAGTCATAACTGGACATGCTGCATGGAGAAGTGTATACACCTGTCATGACTTTGCATTCCTCAGATCAAACTCCCTGCTGCGTAAGCTGTTCAAGCCGAATTATGTATCAGGAGACCCAAAGTCGGAGTGTTGATTTCTGTCGAATATTTTCAAATCAGAGCAAAGAGTGTTGTCACAAATCTAGACTCTCTCTCTCTCTCACACACACACACACAGGGGCTGCGCCCGGCAGAACTTCATCCGTTTCCGTCTAAGGCATAGTGGAGCATGCGGTGGAGCCCTGAAACACCGACGAATCATTTTACACTTCCCCACACGACAGGAGAGTCTGCCAAAGGTCGCAGAATGCCCCCAAGGCGAATCGACATAGTCAGATTACCAAAAACCAAGTTTTGCAGTGTCCATTATGATGCTCCAACCTTGTCATACAGAAAATTCCGGCGTTTGGGATGCTTCAGTGGGCGGACTAACTTGACTTGAGCAATCAGATTCATACATGTTACAACTTAGCAGGCTTCCCGGACATATTGTTGATGTACGTTCGCCAAGACGTTGAAATTAGTCCGACTATCAGACAAATGTGTGACAACCAAACCGTTCATATATACCTCGTGCATTGTATTGGCGCGGTTGTCCAATTTGATTTTGAAAGCCCTTTTTGCGCGGATTGCAGAGTGCTTGTTTGACAAGTTAACCCAGTTTTCGACAGCGATCATGGCTCAATCATTCCAACAACTCCCGTACCTCAGCTACGGTCTGCTGGTCCTGGGCATTTATGTAGTCTACCGAATCCTCCGAATTGGTAGGCGAGACCCGAGAATGCCAAAGGGTCCTCCTACACTTCCGATTCTGGGCAATTTCCATCAAATCCCCTCGACAGGGATGTATAGGCAGTACGTGGAAACCCGCTTGAAGAAAACCCATTTGACAACTGGCTGAGGATGGGGACAGATTCCGCGAGTGGGCGAAAGAATACGGCCCGGTTTTTTCACTGAAATTCGGACCGTCCAACATCATCGTTCTCAGCGACCGGGAGGCCATCCACGAACTTATCGACAAGAAAGGCAGCATCTATTCGGACCGGCCGACAACATATGTCGGTAACCTGCTGACCAAGGGAGACCACATTGCAATTTCGCCAGCGGACTCGCTCTGGAGAGAGAAGCGAAAAGTCATTGCACACAACTTCTCCCCCAAGATGCTCGACGAGAAACATTTTAGAGTTCAAGAGGCAGAGTCAGTTCATCACGGCGGCTAAAAGCGCGTAATGAAGAGATTGGCCTAACACACTGCTTACAGGGGCATCGTATTGATGAATGACCTGTTGAACCATCCAGACGGCTTTTTCAACCATATCCGTCGATATACGGCGTCGGTGGCTGCGACATTAGTCTATGGCCAGCGAGGTGCCACTTTTGACTCCTTCTGGGGCCATGTATGGAAACCAACCTCTGTGGACTTGAAAAGACTAAAGGGCTAACGGGCAATGTAGGCCGTCTACGACGTGATGACCAAGGTGAGTAAAGCATCTTTTTCGTGATTGAGTTGTCTAAAATATATCCTAGTGGACGGAATGTATGGAACCTGGAGCGAATCCGCCGGTTGACGAGTACCCGATCTTGAAATATATCCCCAAAAGCCTCGCGTTATGGAAGCGGCGGGCATTGCGAGCAGGAGACACCATGGACGCAGTATGGACTCGAGCACGTCAGATCATCGAGGCACGAAGGGCCAAGGGTGACAAACGCGACTGCATCGCGGACCGACTTCTAGACGAGTACAACGAGAAAGGCTTCCCGATGAGTCAACACGCGTTTAACAATCTCATCGGCGAGTTGGTCGAAGGAGGTGCGGACACGACGTCCGCACAGCTGTTAACCATGGTCCTGGCCCTGGCGCGCAACCCCTGGGTGCAGGAAAAGGCACGAAAGGAAATCGATCCATTATGTGGCTCCTCTCGCTCGCCACAGTGGTCCACGGACTTCCAAAGCCTCCCGTATATTAACGCCATCGTCAAGGAGGGCATGAGATGGCGACCAGTGTATGTACATCAGATATCCCACGCCGACCATGTTCCGCCGTCACTGACATTTGCATGTGGCTAGCGCCGTGACTGCTCTTCCTCACAGGGTCAGACAAGGTATGTGAGGACATCCCCAAATGTCCGAAATAGATGTTCTAACACGAGCCAAGATGACTACTACAAGGGCATGCTGATCCCGAAAGACTCGACCATCTTCATTCCTACCTGGGCCATCCACCATAATCCGGAAATTTACCCTAATGACGAAGACTTCAACCCCGACCGCTTCTTGAACTACCCCAAGCTGGCGAGTGAATACGCCGGGAGCGCCAACTGGAAAGACCGAGATAAGTCCAAGACTACTCCTTCAAAAGCTTCCAAAAGTTGACTAACCTCTATGATACATCACTACGGATACGGTGCCGGGCGCAGAGTGTGCCCTGGGATGCACTTGGCCGAGCGAAACATGTGGCGAATAACCTCTAAGTTACTTTGGGCTTTCGACATACGCGAACCAGTCGACCCCGTCACCGGCAAGACAATCCCACTCGACCCGACCGCGTACAACCCAGGCATCACGCAGGCGCCTCTCCCGTTCAAGGTCAGGATCACTCCTCGTAGCCCTGAGCACGCCGCTGCTCTGCAAAAGGAATATCGCGCTGCTCTGGACTTTCTCGCTCCCTTCGAGTCCAACGAATGATTGTACGATGTAACTGCTGGAGGTGAACGTGGGACCAGCGCACTCACCATCTTGCACTTAAAGGTCTTTACGTGAAGCATGGACAACACGCAGTTTCGAGAGAAGTGATGCTGCGAATCAGTTTACCTGGGTCAAATGAACTGCAAAAACAAAACCATTAAATGAATGTCACAACAAGACGAGATAAACCCCGTTACTTGAAACAAAGAATCCAATATCTCCAAGCGACGTCCTCATCTAATAGATGTTGATAAGATATTGTCAGAACCTCACTCTAGACAAGTAGGTACTAGTGAATTAAAATACCATTCGATTCGTATTTATCTAGTAAGAGCTATTCCGTACTAAAGGCCTATTTAGGTATAGTGTAAAATAGATCAGAGTAATTACTGTTATTACTCATTCAGTATTTCCTTCGCTGGAACCTTATCCACTATTAGACAACTAGTGTAACGGGCTGAATAGGTCGAAAGAAGGATAGTATAGTTATGTGACTGTATAGAGAACATTAGCATGGGGTTTCCATTAAGTATTATAGAGAAGAAAGGAATAAAGAAGAGAACTTAAGAGAGGACATAAAGAAGAGAATCATTCTATAAGGCGTCGATAATATTGTACGAGGATCGGTTGAGGTTCGGCGTGCACGTACAATAACGTATAGAGGCCTATCCAGTAGGTCAGTAGTCGTGAGAGACTCCTTAGTTAGGATTCAGCCGCTAACGAGTATAAACCTTAGAGTTAACGTCTAGGTTATACCGTAGAGTACTATAGTGTTACGAGCCGCTTTATACGTGAGGTGTCAGTAGTAAACCCGAATAGTTTACTTAGTGAAATAGTAGTAGAATGAAGAAGCTAAGACGAAACTAAGAGTATAGTGTACGGAACTATACGTAAAAGCGAATAACTAAGAGGAACTTAATTATTTATGAACGAAGTTAACTATAAGGAATGCCCTAGGCATTCCTTCTCCCTGTATAGTTATTAGATACTTAGTATACTTAGATGTTAGGGCTGCTTCCTATATAGCCTAACGGAGTTGGGCTTCCTCAGTTACAGTTCCTTTATTATATGAGCTAGGTCGAGAGTACGTAAGGTATAAATAGTCGAGTAACTTCAGAATAGTATAGTAAAGTAGATGTTATACTATAGGGAAAAAACGGCCTAGGGATGTTAGGTTAGGGCCAGAAATTTCCCTAAAATGACCGGATAGGAGGGAACCCCCGGTCGGTAGTAGCTTACTTACTACTACCCTACTTAATAGTACCCATCGAAAGATACTAAGATTTTTTATACGATAAGTACTAAGGAAATAGAAAGTCGAATAACTCTTAGTACTTATCGTAAAATTCGCTCGTTTTTTTAGTTTTTACGATCCGCTAGTCGTATTATACTAGAAACTACTCTTATTTTCTAGCTTCTTAGTTTAATTTTACTATTATAGTCGTAACCCTACTTAAGTTTAACGATAGAAAGAAAAATATAATATATCTCGCGAACTAGAAATTTTCGAAGTTTATTTTTTACGCTCGATCGATAGAGAAACTCTAGTTCTATCTATACCTTAATTTATAGAGTAATCGAAGTAAGAGTCGTAAAATTAGAGCGGAAACTATATAGCGTTATATACTTAGTTATAGATCGATTTAAGGTTTTATTACGTAGGGACCCCGAACTCTACCTTTAACCGTACGAGACTAACCTCGTTTTTATTAAGAGTTACTAGATCCCGTTAAAGTTAAGTTTAACGAGACTTAAGAAGCCTCGTTTTTTTCGAGGGTATAGTCTCTTTTTTCTAAGGAGTAGTCTTTTTTCTTAGAGCTTATTCTATCTTATATTTTTCGACTCTTTAGTCGGAGTTTTCGGCCCTTAAGTCGAAAATTTAGAAGTATCTTTACCTTTATAAAATTTTATATAGACGTCCCTCGAAAAATATAATCTAAGTTCGCTTTAACTTATATACTTAGTTTAGAGCGCTTTAGCTTAAAAAAATTAAATATAGTTACTTACTATCGTTACTCGTAGTATAAAGGACCTTTACCTTAGTTTTTTTAAAATATAACGGTTAGAACTCTTAGTCGGAAAAGACGAGTTAAGGATTAGAAAAACTAATTATAATACGTATTTCTAGCCTTTAGCTATAAGAACCTTATATACTTCTTTAACGTTAAACTATATCTAGATTAGAGAAAATTAAGGAGCGTAGCGAGTTTTTTAAACTAACCTTCTAGTCCTCCGCCTTATCTACGTTATAGATAAGTATTTTAACTAGTTAAGTCTATATTAGTTTTTTTCGAGAGGAAGGTCGGGAAAACCGACCTCAAGGTAGTTAGCGTAGTACTAGCTAGAGACTATAGTAAAGTCTCTACTCTTATTATCTTTCTCCTTCTACTCTTAATTAGTTTTTTTCGAGGAAGAACTCGTTTTTTTCTTACCTTCTTCCCCTTAAGGTCGCGAAGGTATACGTTAAAAACTATTAAGAGCTCCTCTACTAACGTATACTATTTTTTTAAGTTAGTAGTTATTAGACCCGTTATCTAACTAGAGGGTAAATATATATACTATGGGATTAATAATGATAGATAACTAGCCTATAGATAGAGATGTTAACGCTTAAAGAAGGCTTTAAGGTTAATAGGTGTAACCCCTCTTACTATATATATATAGTAAGTCAGCTACTTAGCTAGTAGCCTAAGCCGAGTATCTAGTGTTACGTAGGTGTTCATGATAATTTCCTTAAGTAGGAAATGGCTAACGTTACTACACTACGTAAGCTATAGTAGAATACTAATCCGACGTAAATAAATATAGATAAGTTCCGTCGCTAGGTTAACTCGAAGCGACGACTTACGATAAAGGACTATATAGAACTCTATATATAGTTAATAGACTCTCGTATAGTATCCGACTTTTAGGCCGACCTCTTTAAATTCGAAGGCCTCGCGAAACATTCGCTATATATTAAAGGCTCGATACTACCGTAGGTAAGTATACTCTATAAGCCTTAGTATTAATAAATTAACTAGAGTCTAGGGAGTAGTTATATTTCCGCCGCCGTATTTCTTTCCCTAAGTCTATATAAACTTCGCGTAGTATTTATTAAATATAGACTCCTTAAATCCCATTATTATATATACCGTACCTAAAGGAGTAAAGACTATACGAGCTATTACGCGGTAAGAGCTACGTAAATAGATTATAGTAATAGCGGACGCTCTAAGGTAGGCTAGTATAAAAAAGGGAGATCGCGTAGTAGCCGTCATTTCTAACTACTTCGAGACTATTATAGCTTATCTAGCTACCTTAAGTATTAGGGTACTATAGTTAACTTTATTACTAGATATAGGTATAGAGGGCATTATATAGCGGCTTAAGTAGATTAAGCCTAAGATTATCTTCTTTAAATCTTCTATATATTATAACGGAAAGCTACGCTCCTTAACCGAGAAATATAAATAATACCTAGGTCGACTTTAAAAGGTAGTTAATTTTAAACGCGCGGTACTAATTATTCGCGATAAGCCCTATTCTAAGGAATAACCCGATAGTACGACCTAGGATCGCTTCTTAAGTATAGTAAAGGGCCGTCTACTAACTTTTAAATAACTACCTTTTAGTTACTCTAGATTTATTATATATTCTTCTAGAACGGTAAGTTTATATCTTATACTTTTTCATTAAGTACGTTATAGATCTCTTAATTAAGAGCATTATAGACCGGCGTCTCTAAATATATAGTTTATAGTACGTATATAAGTTAATTAGAAAGAATTATATAAGAGCTCTAGAGACTAACGCGTAATATAAGGGACTCCTAATATAAGTTAAGAAAGACTATCTTCTTTATCTAGATATACATCTAGACGATATAGTATATTAATATACTATAGTAAGGGATATTCCTATCGTACTAGAAGTAATAATACTAATAGTAGAATAGACTAGATAGATTATATAGGTAATAGTTATATATAGTCTTTCCTACGGAGGTAGTATAGTTATATATAATAACTCTCTACTATATCTAGATCCGTTAGTTACCCTTCGCCTAATAGAGAAGCTAAAGTACGTATAAAGTAGAAGATCTAGAGATTAGTATAGACTATAGTTACTAATATCGCGCCTAGAATATCCTTATTTAGTATATCTACTAGATTCTTAATCGATCTATAGAAGAGAAATATTTACTCTAGTACGTCTATTACTTCCTAAAGATAACCTTTATATATTAATACTCTTATCTTAGAGTAAACTAATAATCTTAGTAACTTACGAACTATATCTTTAACGGGCTCCGTCCTTCTAGTAAGGGTATACGAATAGTTCTACGATACTAGGTTTCCTAATATAGTATATCTTATATCTAGTAGTAGTAGTATAGACTTAGTATATTCTTATAAGAACTACTATAATATCCTAATTAATACTTCTAAGATCTAATTTTACTCTTCTCTAGTTATCTTTAGAGATCCTACTAGTTCTATCTACTTAGGAGAGATTTAAGCCTCTACTCTAGAGATAGCGATTAATATACTTAATAGCGCTAAAGATTACCCTATCTCTCTTATAAATACTAGAGTATCTAGTAAGTTAGTTTACCGTTAGCTATTTCCGTCTAAGTCTATTAAGTTCTAGAGTATAGATAGGAAGATTAAGTATTAGAAGGTATATTTTAAGCGATTCGGAAATAATATCTAGATCTAAGGTAACTTTATTTTATCGTCGTTTATAATAGACGGTTTTACTATATTAGGTAGAAGGTTAGTCTTTTAGGACGGAGGGAAACTATTTCCTTCGTTAATATCCCTAGACTTAAGTAGATCGTTAGTATATATACTAACCGAGGAAATATAATCTAGCGATAGTATACTTAATCCCTTTAGTATATAATTTAACTTAGCGGAAATCTATTAAGTAATTAAGAAATTTATAGAGTTCGAAGAAACTATATATATTAATTAGCGTCGTTCCTAAGATAACGATAAGACTATAATTCTATTTATTAAGATAAAAGACTTATAATATTTAATAAAAGCCCTAATCGTCTCCGTCTACTTAACTATCTTAACTTCGCTAAGTCCTCGCTACGTACTAAAATTCATTTTCGAGGTTCCGGAGATCTCTTACATTATTAATAGTAAGAAGATTAAACTTATAGTTAAGTAAATTATCTCTAGTTAAGTTATTACGTTATTAGGGGCCGTAATAAACTCTAAAAGCCTAAAATTCTTTAAAAGATTCGCCTACGACTCGTATTTAAAGTAGTAAGTAGAAGAGCTAAAAAGCCGGCTTTAAGCGATGGAGTTTCTTATCCTATTACTTACGTATTATTTTTTAGAGGGTGGAGACTACTTAAGAAGATATATATAAAGGTAAGGAGTCGCTAATAGAAAGAAAACTCATTATTAATATAGAAGTCTGGATCTAGAGAGTGATAGCATTTAGATCAAACTCGTGGTGGCTTGTGTTTTACTCTTGTTCCCCTATCAAAGCTGCTTTACTCGTTTCGATAATCTATTTGCATGCATCATGATGAATCATGATATTCGAAACCACCATATTGCCGGCCTTCAATAGGCACCAGTAAGCATCTATGCACCAGTACGTTCGTTTTTCATCGGACAAAATCCGTTCTTTTCGTGCGTCCAAGAAGTACTATATCTTGATCATTCGCGAATGAGATCACGGGTGACAGGGGTAGAGTCCTGGAAAACAAATCAGTGTCAAAAGAACAAACACAGATGATCGGTTTGTGGCCAATACATCAAGGTTCAACACTCACAGCCCAGACTTGATACAGCGTCAGTCTGGGAGAAGAGCCTGTAGCGCCTTCGACGCCCGATCGTCCGGCAAACTCGCCCTCGACGCTCTTCCCGTTGTTGAAAGACATCTCGACGTGTCCGATTAAAGACAAATCACTGCCTTCTAGGTCTGCCGAGAAGACTTTGAGGACAGCGTGGCGCCGCTCCGTCACAACTTTCCAGGCACTGTCTCTCGACCCTCGAATCTCTGTTGCACGGCGTCAGCGAGCTGGACTGGACCTGGACCATGAAGTCTAGCATAACACGAAGGATTTGGTGCGAATGAAATGAACTTCTTTGCCGTTGAAGAAATGGCCTCCAAACTCCGCACGGCCGTTGGGTGCGAAGATCTCATCTGCCAGAACGTTGCCTACGCTGCTGTCCTGTGTGTCGAGCAGCTTGAAAAACCGCGAAATCAGGTCTTTGATCGCGGGATTGATTTCAAACGAGGGCCACTCCGTGGCCTCTGTGTTGTACACCATTGGCGCGTCGACACTTCTGTCTTTTTTGCTTTTAGGGGTGCAAAATAGGGCTCGGTAGATCGTGGGTGGGTGAGCAGAGCAGCACAGCACTCAGGGTTCTGGCGCCTTTAGATCGTGGCAGATCGCTCCGCAAAAATACGGAGGTCCGGCCCATATTCGGCTGGCATCAGAATCATACATCTCTGGTGTTGAAGCCTCTTTTACTAAGGGGGATGTAATGCGTTATTGCCGTTCCGGTTCGGCGAGCGTCTTGTTGAAAGTTCCCCGAGGCCGGAGGTTCCCCACCACCGCAATCATTCCGACAGGTCTATCCAGAGGCCCTCTCCCTTCAGAATCTCATTGTGTAGGTGCGAAAGAAGCTTGACACATGAGATCTGATCTTCGGGTGGCTGATCCCTCGAGCAGCGTCACAGTGTTCCTCATCTCATCGAGCCGTTCCAGGATTTTACTGGTGACAACCTATTTTCGACACTTTCATCCCCTATCAGCGCAATAAGCATAGAATCCTTTCTGATGAAATGCTCCTGCATGCCATTTTCTTCGGCGCTTTTGGATATCTCGACGATCACCCGCTCAAAGAAAGCCCCCTCGGCTTGGTGGTGGAAGGCCAAAAGCGCATGTTTGACGTTGCTCGGAGCCTCTTTCACATCAACGCACAATGGAACAGGAGCATAGCATTGGTACAGACGGCACTTTTACTCAGCTCCTGGGGCCCCTATGACTTGAAAACAGAGGTCAATGCCTACTGGGTCAATCAGGCGACGCAGCGTGCCATCGAGGGAGGATTCTTTTCGTCCAGTCTACCAAGTACAAGCGGGTGGAAACAATTCGGTTGAGAGCAGTCCGGCTGAACCACGAGACCTTCCTCTTCATTCGTGCTTTCGTTATAGCTTGGTCTGCGGCATGCGACCAGGCCGCCTTGTAACAGAGAATATGACTTTCCTCAAGAACCCTACCTCCCCCCCCCCCCTCCCCCGGTCCCCGCCCCCTAGCTCCCCTGGGGAAGCGAAGTCCCCCTTTTTTCTCGGTTCATCGCCGTTTCCACATCGTGTGCTCTTTACCAATTGAACGCTTCTGCGAAGAATTCAAGATCTCCCTCTGTGTGTCCCATACATGTCACAACCGCAGCTCGTGCATCGTCCGCCAGGAGTCCAGGTCCACAGCAGAGAACAGCCATCTTCACACCCTTGAAGCAGTGTGCCTGTATCTCTGCATCGATGACCTTTCGCACAGAAGGTCGGCCCGGAAAGATCTTGACCTGCTCGGTCATATCAGGACTCGGTGACGATATCTTCTTAGTGTAGGCATCGACTGCGTCGATAGCCTTGTCCACGCCGATCCCGACCTCTTTCAGGTTGGCTTCCTCGATTGGTAAATCTGGCGGCGTAACATCTCCTGGAGAATTGCCAATCTCGCTGCCCGTGATATAGATGTCAATCTCGACGTCCAAGGTGCTGAGAGCGCCAGGAGCCTGCAGCCACTGCGCCAGCTCGGTGACCAAGACGTCTTGGAATTGGGCATGGCTACGAACCGCCCATACAATATGGATGCGCTGAATGCGGTGGGGCGCGCTTCGGACGATCGCATCGGCCAGTCCACTCAAGTGTGCGAGGGCAACCGTGATACCAGATCCACCCACAATGATCAGTACTTTGTCATGCTGTGCGAAGGTATGACCTGATCCATATGGGCCCTCAAGAAGTACTCGAACAGGTTGTACAATGTTTTGATTGCCCACCTCTTCGCTCTTTCCCGCCAGTTGCACCATCATACGTTTCGTGAAGCTATCGTGTGGTCGAATTGCGAAACTGAGCTCTCGAGATGAGGCCCTTTTCTCCGTCCAGGTACTCAGGGTAAACGGGTGGCTTTCCCAAAACTTGAGTCCGTTCAGCATGTAGATATAAAAGTAAGTCCCGGGCTGTGGCTGTATCGTGAATCGGGTCGGAACAGAAAGGCGAATCATGTTACTGTCTGGGTGATATGAGGCGGTGCCTTTGCAGGCCGGGAAATTGAGGAAGATCAGCCGACAGAGTCGCAGAAATCGGTCAAACGACCAGACCGCAACGCACGGCCAAATGTACATCATGTAATCATCACCGAAGATCTCGACGTGGCTGCCTTTGTTAAGCGTCGAGCTCCATGAAGGGTTCTGTAGGGACGTTATGCTTACTAGTACATGCCAATGAGAAATAGGAGCGCCCCGATGATATGAACAATGAGAAAGACCTCATAGATGTGCTTCCGCATAGGGTAGATCGAGAAGACGCAAAGGAGACTCATTGCGATGGTGGCCTTGTACCACAGAATCAGCAATCAAGACTGGGTGGAAGAGGGCTAGCCTAGGCACGGTTGGCTCACAATATTACCCATCCACCAATATCTTTGCTGCCAATCCGTCTTGTATTCTGGCCAGCCCTCGTCTGCATGTATACAGTCAGCCACCATGGGTGCATCGAGGGAGATATGTTGCGTAACGAACCAAGAAAATCAAGGACGGTGTATCCAACGCTGTGCAGGATAGCTTGCACTGTGGCAACCCGTGCAACCCATCGATGGAACTGGGAGTAAGTCGTGAAGCTCCAGCCTGTGAGCCATAGCAACACGTTGTTTCGCATGGCAAAGGTAAACATGAGAGGCATATTCGCCGTTGCCATGATTCCCGTCCTGTCAGAAAGCCATTGCCATATCTGCCGTGCTGTACTCCGGTAACTAAACGCAAACCTATGTTTAGTCGGATGCTCAAGACATTGGACTGAGAGGTGCCTTACAAGAAGTAGTCCCCAAATGGGTGATAATCGATGCAACACAGGATCACGTTGATAATGACCCAGAGGATCACTAACAATGACTGTAACCTTGGTGGAATCGTACACCAGCCAAAAGGCTGTGCAGAGTGATATCCCAAGAGCGCCGGGGTTGTGATCCACCTCCTCATCCACATTTTATAACGGAGCAGCCATGCTGGGCTGGAAGAGGAGCCGTTATCCTTTCGTCGTTGCTGTATAACTTGGGCGACGAGAAGATAAAAGCGATATAGGATGCCCAAGGACATAACCAAACCCCAGTAGCCGACCATCGCCCATCTGTGTATGGTCAACACGCTGCTTTTGGAGAAGAGAAAATTGGAAAACTCACCCATACCACTCTTGGGTAATGTCTGTAGACAAGTAAATGTCCTTGAGAGCAGTCAGCCAAATGTCGAGTGCAAAGACAGTCCGGTACAAAGGACCTACTTCAGTCTTGTGGGTGATGTGGTATACTTCTGGTGGTACTTGGGTGAGTTGGTCGAGGACAATCGGATTTTCCTCGCTTTCTTCAGTCCTCGAGAACCAAAACTCGTCTACTGTCATGACTCTATGAGCCTGATCCCACGTGATGTTGTCAATAATTGACCATGGCAATAAAGATACCTCGCCATATTCCTCGCATTGGCTGTTCCAGTAGTGCCAGCCATAGTCTGCCTGCTCTGGGGTGCAGTAGTGGCGCATACACAGGAAATATGATTTCGCCCTGAGTTCGTTCTGACAGTGACTGGCGTAGAAATCATCTTCGAGGGTATTCGGTTTGAACAGAAATTCTGCAAGTGCTTGGTGGCAAGACCAGTGACAGTTGGTTGGATCGCTGACGAAGGCTTTGGCAGCGGGCAGCCACAAGAAGAGGGACAGGAATGCGAGCATATTCGTGAACATATTCATTCTTGCTATGTGCAGGATTGGGAAACCTTCTCTCTGCCCCGGCCACCCGCCATGAATGAAGGGTCTTAAGTATTTCCTTCATCCTTCCAACGTCGCCCGCGGAGAACTCCATCATTTCCATCGATAAAAAGTAGGAACCTCGACTCGACTCCAGCAGCACGAGCGAGAGGACTGTCCTCTGCACAGACGTTCGAGGGGCCTATCATGGCTGATGTCCCGGCGGGATCATGGCCTAGATTAGATTAGATTGATAACTATCGCTTGATAAGATATTCTAGTGCGGGCTTCAATTGGGGGGTGCCCCACGGTCGTTCAGCACCGCTGCTCATGCTCGACCACTGTACGTCTATTCTATTAGGAACTTCTGTCCATCAAAATGACTAACAATTCGAGACGGACCATCGAGAGAGGTCCCACCAGAAAGTATATGCCGCAAGCACGAGCCAATTCAGTCTCGTAACCCAGCCGACCTTGATGGTTGCATAGTACTAAGGGGGAAATTTTTCTCACTACCCTCAGGGTAACCATCTTTTTTATTCGCGAGCGGAATCACCCTTTTCTATGACTGGCGCTCAAATCGAAGACTAGTTAGTGAGGGCTGAAAAGCTTTCACCACGACGAGACAAATCAAGGCAAAAGTAGATTCGCTAGCTGGATCAGAGCCTGTAGGGTGTAGGCAGGTCTGTACGTGGAAGAACAGAACGTCAGGGTGGATGTAGTAGGCAGTGCTAGTCTTGCACAATCTGCGCATGCTTTATGTCAATTGACTGACAGGAAAGCTTTTGTTGGCATCGACCTGGGAACATTCCAAGCACCACACTAAAAGTCTTGCTCGATTAGCCAAGTGAAGTCCAAGCTCCCAGGGTCCTAAGCTCTCATAACTAGCCCCAATCGCAGATGGTTTGCGGAATCACGGCGCGATCATTATCATTCGCAAAGCTGTTATACATCGACAGGCTTGTCGATCCCAAAGTCGGTATGTCCCGGGTTCTCATGAGTCCGAAAATTCTTCCAGCCGGTTTTGCATGAATCGGAACGTTCGGCAGGAGCAAGTCGGATACTGGAAGCTGTTACTAGTGGCCGATGTTCGGTGTTCTTCTTTGAGAGGCTTCTCGACGGCTAGGAGCTCCACGTATGTATAAGAGAACAAAGTTCAGCAGAAACGAGGCGGGGGGTCCAAACTCCTCCCCATGTGTAAATTACGGGTCAGGGATTCGCTTTTGCAAAAGCTCCGCAAGCCATACACTGACTTGCCCAGGAGCTCACCTGGCATACCCTATACTCGGTGCTGTCTGATACGTGTATACATGTGTCCTACTGTCAAAAAGCACGTTGCTCCCCCCTCCTGCCCATATAGATTGGTGGCTCCAGTTACAGTGCCGGTGTAGGGTCAACAACGGGACCAAAAGGTTTCTGGTTGAGTTCTACCGCGGCAAGAGAATAGCCATCTAACTGGGCATGGGTCACCCGTGGCCAAGACCCCCTTCCTTAGTGACAAATCGACTGCCCTCGGGTGATGCCTTCACGTGACGTATTTGTGGCCCCACAGAAAACCTACCTTGCCCACCGTTCCGCAACCTTAACCAACCACCACCACCACCGGTACGTTTACCGACCTGCACTCGGTACATTAGTGTGCATTTACTAACCCTTTCTGTGTTCGTGTGACCTCCTCAACCAATCGTACGTGCCCCCAAGGTTTACTACGTACATAAAAATATGCTAACACGTCTCTTTCCAATAGATGCCTGAACAATAGTACGTTCAAGCGATTCCTCATTCCTCCCTCCCTATTTCCGGTACAAGAACTGAAAGCAAAGTAGAATGAAAATCAAGAACGTGGCCTAGTTCTCTAGGACCCTGAAGAGGCCCAACGGCAATTAGATCGCATAGTAGTCGATGTTGTGCCCTGGATGTCCGCAATACCGGGGCGTGGTATCGCCTTCGTACGAGGGCGAATCACTCGTCAGTAGATTCGTACCCATCGGCCCTCCTACATCCTCGCTCTATTAAGCCGGAGTTGGGGGGATTCGATCGCCTTTCCCGTGTCGTCAATTTTCGGGGCTAATGAGCGTATTTCGGAATGCGGTCGTATGCCAGGGTATTTCGGTGGGTGCTGCGGCAACTACAAATGGCGAGATCATACTCTCCGTTGTAGCCATTCTTACACTGAACGGAGGGATGCGATGGAGCTTTCATCGTCGTCATCCAACGTTGACCTGCAAGTTGTCCTGGCGGGCCAGGCTATGTATAAACCCATCACCCTTAAGGTACGTACGAAACTTCCTTTGCTTTCCTTGCCTCGCGAGCACCTGCACACTACCCTGGCCTAGCTATACGGGGCTGTCGATAGCACCTGGTCATGCTCTTGTGCCCTTTCGCGGCGACTAGGATCAGTAGCTTCACAGCAAAACTAAACAGGATCCTTCATAACAACGGAAAGTTATGAAAACGAATGGACCGTGTATGAATACGCTTAGAATTCTCCTCTAGAATCTCCATCACACCCATTGGGAATATCCTTAGATTTCTCAATTGATCGCGCGATAGCATGATCCGGGATATTCTCATTCTCATGATCTCTTCGTACGTGTCTTCCTAGCATATTCCATCCCCTTGTTATCGTAACATCAACTCTTGCCCGGTGCAGCCTATTGAACTGGGGCGAGGCTCTTAGCCAGAGGTATCAACTCGTACGGCGGTGGGCATGGAGGTAGGGGTAGCGGCTGTCGCACAGTAATAACAACGATAGCATAGAAGGTCCTGATCAGGTAGATTCCATAACTTGATAGATTGATTCCCCTTGAGGGGTCCCTGTTGAAGAGGAAGAAAGAAAAAATAGGACCTCAGACCTAATGCCTGAGATCCCACCAACTAATGACCAAGAGTGCCATCCTGTACACTGTACAGGCAAATTCCACCAATCACGTTCCAGCTTGCCTTTCTCCCCATTACACTATCTCCGTGGATGAGGTGCCCAAGCTTGTGGCTATTGGGTTTTACTATTTCGTACGTTCCGAATTAGCCAAAAACAGCGACCTTGTACGGACCCTAAAATCGCGGTTCGCATTTCTTCGGGTTGCCGGCTCGTGTACCACTGAGACAAGCAGTACTGTTCTGTTCTGGATACATGGTGTGTTTAGTGTGAAATAACGTTTCGAGAGTCTCTTGTGGCCCTTGACCCACCAAGGCCTGACGATGACCCTTCAACCCGTAAAACTTCCACGGATCGAGAGTCACCTTTCACTAGGCGGTAGCCTCGGCGTATCGACCAATTTTGCAAAGTCAACGATCTCTCAGAGTACTGCATGCGTAGGCCTGATCTGCCTCCGACACTTTCCATCCTCGAGTGCTTGCCCTGAGAGTGCACTGTAATGGCACATAGTGTGCGCTCGTCATTAGTTGCTGAGAGATGTAACTGAGATGTCTGGTGAGGTAGAATCCCGCTGTGGGTAGCAGAGCGGCATACGTTGATTGCTCAAGGTATCAGATTCGTCCTCTTGAAGCACTGACAGGGACGTATGGCTGTCCGTCAACGTGGTGGACGGAGTATCAACAGGTGCGCATCGGGCTGTCCTCTATCTATCGCCACCACTTTTTACCCCATCCGCCCTTCCTTGGACCCCAATTCTCCTTTGTCGCAGCATCAATATTGTCGATGCTCAAGTAGTCGACACCCTCCCGGACCAGTACACGCCAAATATAGTTCCGAACCCCAACTGGCCAGGCGGGGATACCCCAATATCGGACCTTGAGGCCGCGAGCATGGGCGCCGTGAATCTGTTTGCGGAGACGTTCGAGTTGGAGTTGGGATAGAGAAGAGTGCCATGGATTCCCGATAGGGTTAGGGTTAGGGTTAGGGTTAGGGTTAGGGTTAGGGTTAGGG